GAATACACATACTATACAGAGATGCTGTTTGAGAAACCAATGTGAGTTTGGAACATTGAACAATGTGAATCTATTCTAGTAGACCTCAACAATGGAATTATGATCAGTGGAAATGGCCATGACATGGGACCTTTAAAAAAACACTGATATGCTTGGTAGTAAAAATAATAATAATTCAGAAGTTAGGATGGAGAGTAGACTCACCTTGCTGCACACGGAGGTTGCAAACTAAAGCTGAGGCTCTGGTGTTTGGAAGAGGCAGGTAATGTCAGTCTCTCCACCAGCCTCCGCCAACCTGCGCCTCCCACTTCCTGTTTATATTTTTGGGCTTCAGTCCACGCCTCAGACACTCGATAGCAGCACCTGTGAAACCCCAAGCCCTCAGCAGCAGCCTGGACGTCCAGCAGCCCCTCCTGGCTCAAAGTCCAGCACACATCATCGTCTGCACTCATCTCATCCGTCATCCCATCTTTTATCTCAGCCCCCGTCCAGACAAAGGTCTCAGGTCGGCCTGAAACGAGTGGCGCTGCTGCAGCTGGCATTGTTGAGTCAAGGTACGACATGAGGTCAAAGAAGTCTGTCAAAGCGTCCAGGCAGTCGGTTTCAACTCTGGCTGCTTTTTCTTCAGTCTTATCTCTTTTAGTAGCAGCTGCTGAAGGAGCCCTTTTTAATGATAATGGAGTTCTTTGTGTCAAACTGGAAGATGATGTGACGTCAATCATTGCTGTGATACATTTGTTTCTGCTAAGCCTGGAGATGTTCTTAACAGGTTTGCTGTTGGTGGCTGATGCCTTAACACTGACATATCCATCGAGCAGCTTGATGTGAAGATCGATGTCAGGAGGGTCCGGCTCGTTCTGCAGCGCAGCACGAGACCCCGGGGCCCCGGCGGGTAGGAGAAGCTCCAGGTTTGAATACAGAAGAGGAACACCCCCTCTCCAGCTCTCTGCCAGGAGCCTCAGGAGCTGCTCCGTGTCATTTTCAGACCAAACATTAGACTAAAAAGATCAACAGATAATGTCAGTTTTTGCCCTGATAAAAAGTGAATGGAGTGATTACACACGATCTTAACATATCAATACTTGCCTGTAAAAGGTTTACCAGTTGGTTTTGGGTCACAGTGTGGAGACCCAGCATGCTAGCAGCGCAGCATGGGTCGGATTTAGGAAGCTGGAGGTCTACATCTTGTCCTATTTTACGAACACTCAAATCTAGATAAGAGAATATAACATAAGTTGGAGCTTTATATATCCTGAGATTGCAGAATAGGGATCACAATACAAAGTAGAACAATCTGCAAATCCTGCAAATTTGAATTGATGTTATTGGTAACACAACTCTTGTCTATTAGGGGAGTGATTGTGATTTATTTAGAGTAACTCACGCTGTACATGAGTAAGCTCCTCACAAGATGTCTGTCCTCCTCCACTCTGAAGCCAGAGCTGCAGCTGCAGCAGACAGCGCCTGACGTCTCCTCTGCACAGACTGACCAGCCTCTTGACAGCGTCCAGCTCCAGCTGCACGCTCTCAACCAAAGCCACCAGCTGCAGGTAGCTGCAGACATTCACCTTGTAATGCATGAAGTTTTTGACAAACTGTTATTCATGCTAATATTTGCCATCATGATTCTGCATGTGTGGGAAGCCTTTTTATGTCACTGTAGTACCGTCTAATCCAACATTTTACGATCTGAATATCCGGATGTAGCAATAAGCTTGACTCCAACAAAAGTAGTTCTCAGGTAAATTTGATTGACTGTTTACTTAAAGAAAAAGGTATTAGTACAAACACATCTTTTCAAAGGTCAAAAAACTATTTTGCTCCGTGATTCTTTTTCCTAATTAGCAGCAGCTGCGGTCGGCTATGACGTAAATTGTATTACAGCTGATTTAAATAAATGATATAATAATACTAATAACACAGAAACACAATGTTCAAATATATATATATATATAATATATCAAATTATAAATTTTAACATATGGCTCCTACAGTTACAAACATACACTGGGTGAGCTACTTCAGGAAACATCTGAGTATGCCACACTGAAGTTGTCCAATATTGTAGAAATTAAAGTCTGACTTACCACTGATGGGGGTTTGAAAATGATTTCCTCCAAGCTGCAGTTAAATCTCTCCCTGAATAAGGGATCTAAAGAAGACATTTATTTGATTTAGTCATACTTATTTATTTTCCATCACAACTTGTTCTGAAAGCTTTTCTAAAATGACAGTGTATGCGTTTACCATTGGTGGTCAGAACGACCGGTCTTTTAGTGGTCGTCATGAACGTTTTGATGGCCGAATAGAAACCCACATCATCATGAAATATGACATCAACCTGCGGTGGCAGACAGATGCAAAAAGGATCAGACCAGCCTAAACATGTGCAGACTCAAATCCAGATAATGATATGTGTTACAGTGTGGGTTTGCCAGATGGTTTACCTCTTCAAACAGAATGAGCGACGTGGCAGTCTTTTTGTTCTGCGGCACCGTTTGATCAGAGCCTGGTGATGGGTTTACGGATTTCCTGCCGTCTGGTTCATATGATGGCAATAAATCCCCAAAGTGTAAGCGATCTGGTTTGGCCTTCATTTTAAAGTAGTTGGTCAAAGTGACGTTTGCTTGATTTGCTTTTCCTTTGCGACTTGGGTGACCTAAGTTCTGAGCTGCTTTCCTTTTAGAGGTACAGGTGATGTTTTTGGCACGCACTGTTTTTCCTGTGAAAGAAAACACATTAAAGCCTATCAAATATGGAGCATCCAATTCTGTCTTCATGTATCCATTTAAACACTATTTAAAAAGGTCCCCTATTATACTGTTTTTCACCAATATATTATAGGTCTCTAGATATATACAGCAAATGCTCTAGGAGGAGGTTCAGGTGATAAGGTGGGGG